AACAGCATAATAAATAGTCTACATGTGCTATGAGTCAATAACAACATTTAAACAATGTCAGACTATTAACAACATTTAAGCAATGTCAAGTTATCTACAACATTTAAATAATGTCAAGCTGTCTCACGACAACTGCGCAGTATCCAAATCAACAACATGTAAGTCATGTCAAGTTATCACTAACTTTAGCACGAGGATACTACTCAAACCACAAGTTTTTCAATAAAACATATTTGATCCATAGTTTAAGCAACTCAACTCAAATCAATTCAGCAAAATTGATTTCTCACGTATAAGAAAATAAACTTGATATATCATATACTTTTATTTTCAAGTATTATGAAACAATACGCTTCACATTTACCGTTGATAGATACCCTTCCTTTCTTTACAGTCAATCTCTATGTGTAACCGATGTAGTAGCATTCGACCCTAACAGTTAACACATGGATTAATGCAAATGAGTATAGAATCAAAATAGCTTAACTAATGCAAATCAACGCAAAGAAAATGTGTTTTGTGACTATTCATATTCACCACAATTTAACTTCAGTACTCAAAGTCCAAAGACCAATTGATTCCTCAAGCGTTTACGAACTCAGTGAGTACCCTCTACAACCCCAAATTAGAATGCAAACCCTTATTACCACTCAACCTATGTGAACTTATAATTAGTTTAAAAAGGAATCAAGCATCTCATTTTGTACAGTCAAATGCATCGTTTCGGACCACTGTACGTTACCACACTCAAAACCCTAATCTAGATCCTTGATTTCCAGTCCAAATTCAAAATAATTAGTCATAAGTTTTAAAATAAGTTAATAATTCATAAAAAAATGTAATACATGATTTCAAAATGAATTTAAAAAACTTCGACTGATCCAAAATTGAAAAACTATAGCCTGCGTTGCTTTTTAATCCAAAATAGCTAAAAATAAAACAATGTTATTTTTTAATGAAATTTTATACACATACTCAATTAACCTACCTAATAATGAAAATAAAATTTATTTTTCCAAAATCACCCAAAAACTGAGTCAAATTGGCCCCAAAGGCCAAAATAGTCTTTTTAATCATCATTTTGATCCGACCGTCGGATCAACTTGAAATTTTATCAAATGCTCCTTCACACACCGTCGGGGTGCACTGGTGTATATCCTCTTCCTTTTTCTTCTTCCTTGGTCACCTTGACTAAAACCCTAAACTCCTTCCACCAGCCCTAACCCCCTACTTCTCACCTTATTTCTCCCTACTCTGTACATCTTTTCACCTAATTTTTGAAACTAAAAACTCATCACACATCACTCTAACAAATCCCATAATTCTCAAGTTTCGAATTAAGCTTAAACCCATAAAAAATTGATCAAAATAAACCAAAAATAAGATTTTTAGTTTATGGCCAGACCTGCAACTTGTATTTAATCATCTTAACAACTTCTAAATCCATTTTTAAGGTCACCAGTTGATTTCTAAGGTCCATTTTAGCTAGGAACAACCTTCTCTTCGACGCTTAACCCCCAAAACTAAAAGATTAAAAACCCACCATCACCACCACCTTATCACCTTCGACCATGGCAAGCTTTGAAATCACCACCAAAGTACTTCTCTATCTTCCCACAACACAGTCATGCCAACCAATTTAACCAAAAATTACCTCAACTCAAAACCCATTTTATAAAAACTTAGAACCTGAAAATTTAAAATATGAATTCGAGTAATTGTAGTACATAATATGAAATTCTAATGATACATGGAAATTCCTAGACTTCATATTAGCCTAGTAGCATACCTCTAATCATTCGAAATTACTTTTTCCATAAATCCGAAATTCTAAAATTTGATTTTCTCTCTCTAGCTTTTCTCTTCTCCCTATCTCCTCTTTTGTCGGTTCTACCTTATCTAGAGACCTGATGAAGTCTTAAACACCTCCTCAATCACTTTGGAAGCTTGGAAAAGGCTGAGGAGAACTCCTCTGCTACCAAGCAGCAACTTGGAAAGAAATGTCATGCAATGATATTTTCGAGAATAACTTAACTTTGATTTTTTTTTAAAATTTAATTCTAATTTTTTTTATAATTATATACCTATTAAAACATGCACTATAAAAAAAATATTTTCCTATATTTTTTTTTCGTACACATGCATGTTCGAGTTTTACACAACCAGTCGAATTGACGAATCTGGTCCAGTTCTCATAACACTGCTTTGAAGTACAAAGGGAATCCTAAATTCACTACATCTTTCTACATTATGTAAAAAGATTATAGCACAACAAGGGGTGTCCATGGGCCCCGCAAATTTTTTTTCGAGCCGGATCTAGGTAATGTAGGCCCAAGTCTTGACTCAAGTGAGTTATCAAGCATGCTGGGCCGAGCTTCGAGAAAGGGTAGGCAACAAGCAACTCAACCCACGAGCCTATTGGGCGGGCATGTGGGCGGACTTTTTTATATACAATTTCATTTAAAAATAATAAATATTTTTATAACTTAATATTTGTGTAAATTATATTTTTGAATCAAAAATAAAACCAAAATGGATAAAAATAAAATAATTAATAATTTTTATTTTTAATTAAAGGATGAACTACATCCAATAAAATGAATACATCCTAACTAGTTTGCCACATACTCACTTATTTATAATTTACATTACTCTACCCTTTAAAATTTGTATGCTTAATATATGAAAAATAAAATAATACATTATTTATAGTATCTAAATTTTAAAACTTCAAATTCTGACATTATGAGACTTATTTCAAAGTTTCAAATTTAATGGTCTAAATGTATAACTTTTTTTCAAATAAATGGTGAGCGGGGCTATATGGACAGGTTGGGCTTGGCAGGCGGGCTTGATGAGCAGGCTCTTGGGCCGAGTAATGGATTTGAGGGCAAAATCAATCCCTCTTTTTAATGATATTAGACTCGAATTTGGGCGGGTCAACTAGCGGGCCTATCAAATTTCTGACCTATTTTTTTCAAGCCAGATAACAGAACCCGTGGATAACGCGACCCATAAACACTCCTAAGTGCAATTTCAACCACGCTCAATAAAATAACTACTCAAAATATATTTAAATATTGTATTCTCTACTTTAGCTATCCACCTTTTCAAATTCACTCCAACCACACTCTCTATTTTAGCTGACTATTTCAACTAATTTTAATTTATTTTCAATAATATAATTCAAAATTCAACTCAAAACATGTATAATCATCAATCCAACCAAAATCATATCATAATAATTATTTTAATTAAATTTTAAATAATGCAACTTAATGGCAATTTAACACTCATCCACTTTAAATAACAAAAATTAATTGTACAATACGTCTCATAAATTTAAGATTTTTCCAAATACTTACATTAATATTTTATAGGAGTCTAATTGTAAATATTCTATTATACATAAAACTAAAGGAGTTTTCAAAATTTGGCGGAGTTTCAGAATTTATTAGGGATTTTTAGAATTTGTTGGAGGGTTTTTAGAATTTGGAGAGGGTTTCAGAATTTATCAAACACTTGACAGGCAAATTCAACACATCTGTGTCTCATGTACATACAAATTAAACAGTTATGTAAAAACACATCAGAACCCAATTCAAACTTCCTCACCAACCCATGTATCTGAATTCCTTGTTCAATGAAACCCATTCTAGAACATGCTTTCAACACCAAAGAAAACGATCATTGGTCTTTTGAGTTCTTGATTTAATCATTTGAGGTATCAAAATCATCTCAGGTTTCTATTTGGGCATTAGGGTTTTTGTTGAATCAAACGCGCGCACACACACACACACACACAAATGCATACCGGGTGAAGAGAAGCTTTGATGAAGACGATGATGAAACCACAGTGAAGACGAGCTCTTATGAAGAACAGCTCCAAAATTGGCGCAAAGCTCGGATGAAGAACAACCCAAAAATTGGCTCAAAGAGCAAATAAAGAGGGAGCCTTGCTAGCTAGAAGTGATGAGTGAGAATGGGGGGAGGAAAAATAGCTAGTGGATTAGAGAGCCGGTTGAAGAGAATTTTTTTAGATTGACTCAATAAAATAGCTAAAAGATTATCTTTGTTGAGTCGGTTGGAATTGCTCTAAGCACAATTAAGGAAAGAATTTGCTGAGGCAGGGCCACTAGTCGATGTTTTGTCTTTTATTATACACACATCATAAGAAACAGAGAGGGTTGAGGTCCCAATTTATTTTCCTCCTGATTTTTTTTTTTCCTGCTCCCATCTTTAAGATTCGAATACTTGTAAATCATAGGTCTCGAATAATCTGCAAATACTTTAGCCTCATAATAAAATAAAAGAATTTTAATTAATAAAAAAAATATAATAACAAAAAAAAAAACCATGGTAGCATGGTTGGGACCCTCCATCCATCAATACTCCCATTGTAAACCACAAAAACATTCATCTCTCTCTCTCTCTCTCTCTCTCTCTCTCTCTCTCTCTCTCTCTCTCTCTCTGACCATGGCTACATTGTGCATAGCAACACTTGGCAATTAATTCTATTTTACACCAGAGTCCATCACCGGCTCATTTGTGTTCCTTACAGAGGCAAAGCCAATTCATTACTGGCCCTATTGGGGGAGTCCCACATCTGAAGAGTGCAAGGAAGAGTTCGTCTTCGTCTCCTTCTTTTACCATACGATGTTTGAAGGGTGTTGCTGCCCCTACACCCAATGTTCTTAGTCGCCTTTTCAATGGAGGAGTTACCCCAACCCCTATTCCAGACCCAACAGTCGTTACAAGACAAGACTTCCCTTCTGATTTTATTTTTGGCTCACCTCTTCTACTTTGCAGGTCTCTCTTTCTATATATATATAATTGGTCATCGTTGAGGATGTATTGTTTTTATTGGATTAATTATAAATTACCCCTCAAATCTATCTAATTTGCAATCAAATCCCTCTTATTTAATTTTGACAAATTGTCCCTCCAAGTTTAAACCGTCCATCAATTACCCCATTACCGTTAACTTTGACAACTTTACCCTATAATCTCTCCACCCCAGAAACCTCAGCACTTCCTTCGGCCACAACGGCCATCCCACTGCCTTTCTGATCAATGATCAATAACTCTTTAACACCCTTCGCCGTGAGACCCAACCCACTCCCACTAACCAGTAACCCACTCCCACCACCACGCATCAGCGACATCGATGGCCTTAAACCAGACACCCACCCGGGACCTGTCACAGACGAACATCAACGCACGCACTCCGCAATACACATCCACAATCCTCTCCCAAAATACCCATTCTTTTTGCCGATGACAGTGGCAGATTTTTCACGAGAACACAAACTCACGAAGATCCGCATCAAAAAGCTTCTTGATATCCTAACTTTAACTTTTTCCCCTAATCTTTGAACCACTGTTTTTCTTGAATTTGGAGAGGAAGTAGAGAGATTGGCACCAAAACCAGACGGAAGAAGGGGTTAGATGACCTGATTTTTTCTCATGCTTGAGAGCTCGTTAAAATGGAGTCTAAGAAATTTAGTCAGTCTAGCATTAATGAAAATTTTTTGGATTTACCTTTGATATCTTTGCTCTGGTCGTGGAGTTCCAACAAAATGTGATTACGAATCGTAACCTCCACCAACTGGGTAATCGTCGCCACAACCATCAAATTCTCCACCTCCATCATTGGTACAAGTAATTAATATAAGTAATAAATATGGTAAATATAAAGGCAAGATCATTGCAAACAATATAGAGTTGTACGGTCATAACGAAGTACTCCAGTTTAAAGACGACAACAATAATAAGTGGGAGAGAGAGTAAACTCTCTAAATAATGAGACAGATAATTATGTAAGGTTGAAATACGTGTGGTTGTCTTTTATGTGTAAGGAGCGCAGTACCTTAGTTGAAGTGGTGACGTGAAAGATATGTGTAATTAGGGATGAGTATTACACTGAAGTAATAACTATCATAATAATTATGTGAAGAATAAGTGTAATTGAGAATGAACACTATCCTAAAATAATAATTATCCTAATAATTACTCTCTCTCACTTGTGTTGATTGTTCTTGCACTCTTAAGTTGAGGTCATAAGCTAGTTGTGATCTGTTTTTTTAATGATTTGAACTCAACCCATAATTTAAACCCAGGCCTAATCTAAATTTGAACTCGGCAATTGTAACTATCACCGTCAACTCCTAACCAAACACCACTTTCTCTATTTCCATGGACAGCATTTCCACTTTCCCCGTCATCTGCATCATTAAATTCTCCTGCATTGGGTAATCCATGACATGTGAAGAGGCAGATGCGGCATATTGGGTGGTGGATAAGGAATTAGGGCAGTTGAAGGGTTGGTTGGGTTAATGCTCCTTTTGGAGAAGAGAAGGGCCAACTTCGGTTATTTTAATTTTTTTTTTACTTTTTTTTTTACCATAGTTAGGGTATTTTAGGAATTTAACTATTTGTCCATTCCTTCGGTCAATTTTCTTCATTGAAAACTTGAAGGGGGTAAATTGTTGAAATTAAAACTTGCAGGAGTTAATTGAAAATGAACCAAAGTTGGAGAGGGTAATTTGTAATTTACCCTTTTTTTTTTTTTTGATGGTCAGGGTTGTGGTTGTATTGTAATGTGATATTTATTTGGACTTTGGTGCAGACGGAATCATGGGCAACAGAAGGAGGGAGAGGACCTAGCACCTGGGATTATATGCTGCAAGGTGGAATTGGAGTCGACCCATACAATCGACACCCAGTAAATGAAATCCAAAACTCTATTCTTACTTGATCAAGATCATGTCAAACATAACACTTATTTAAAACTAGAAGGTAGTTTAACATTGAGTTTACAACCTTATGAGATGCAAATGGGTCATGGTTAAAAATGGGCTATGGGTATATGTATCGAGTAGTCTATATTAATTTTGTATGCATGTTGTATTAAGATTTTTTTTTTAAATTTTTTTTTTTTTTGGGAGTGAGGGAAAGAGAACTTGAACCCTTAATCTCAAGAAGTCCAAGTCTTCACAAGGCAAGGAATACCATTGAGACGTAATGAGACGATGTGCAACAACTTGTGAAAATGAGAGCGGATGCTTACTGGTTATCCTTCTCATTGTCTAGGATTCTCCCTAGTATGTTTTTTACTACCCTTATAAATGACAAAATTCATTACCACTAATACTCTTGACATTTAATATAGTTACTCAATTTAGTGGTCTAATTCATTATAATCATTAGATTAAATCAACAAATTAGATTGAATTTTATGTTCCAAGAAGTATTACTTATTTTCATGTTATTCTTTACATGATTCAACAATCCACACCACCACCATTAGTGTCCCAACTATAACGCCATAAATCTCCATTAATTGGTGTTCTTGATGTTTGAAAAATGCGGATGGAACAATAGTTGGTGGTATAAATCAACAGGGTATTGATTTTTACAACAAGTTCATTGATGAACTAGTCAAGAATGGTAGGAAACTATTCATTTAATTTACTTTGAGCTCTTTTAATGTGTTGCTCGAACAGGACTATGAAGTTTGAGCTGTTTCAATGCATCTTTGATTCTCTCTCTTCATGATAAACGAAACTTTTAATGTAGGTATAACCCCAATTGTGACACTTTTTCACTTCGACTTGCCCACGGCACTGCAAAATAAGTACTATTGGGTTCTTGGACAGCCAGATTGTGTAAGTGTCATCCACCTGTATACTAATTTATTGTTTGATAACCTCTTTTCTATATAAATTATTTAGTCAAAAAAATACATTTGCTAAAAAATAAAAACAGGGTTAGTTACTATGTTGCAAAAATGATCTAGAAGTACTCTAGTCTATATAAACAGTGCACTTGTATTAAGAGATGGATTACGGATTCTTAACAGAAAAAAGCTCCCTAAACCACCTTTATATTAAATTTAGTTTTCAATAACACTCAGTATTATGTGAATGCTTATTTCGTACACGTATAATATATATGAATATTACCCTCTAATGGTACTCTTGATCCTATATTAATACCACCTATAGATGTAGTATTATAATCTAGTTCAACCATATTATGTTCTAAATTTACTATTATGCCCATGTAATAAACGAAGACATGGATAACTAAACTATATTGATGTTTTTGGTTAGTATGTAATTAGTACTATGACCTAATTGAACTAACTAAAAGTAAATTTGGTCTGAATAACTATTATCCCAGTACTTTTAATTTAGTGTTTTATCAAACACCGGATTACAATGGATAATATTTTTTATGCACATTTAATCTTGTGTTTTATTTGCTTATACAAAATTAGCCTAAATTACTTATGCAATTTTTTTAAAATTTTATGATACTACAACCAAACGATATGTTCTATAGCACTATACGTGTGATATAAGATTATTAGTTATTGTCTGTGCCTAAAGACACAGAGTAACAAAAAATAGTAAACAATAGATATATTTATATTCATATCTAAAATCAAATCACAAACATAAAAAATAGATAAAGGAACTTAAGCATCAATTTGTAGTGGGGGTGAGAAGTAGTGGGCGATAGTGATGGTGGTAGGTGACGATGATGGTTGTGATGGGTGGCAATAATCATGGTGACGGTGGTGGCTGCGAGGGCAGCAGTGATGGTGTGGTGGTGGCGACGGCGGCAATAATGGTGGTGGTGGTGGTGCCAACGGCAGCAGTGGTGGTGGCGACAACGACCGTGGCGGAAGCAGTGGTAGGGGTAGTGGTGGTGGCAGCGGTGGTGGTGGCGGCAGCGGTGGTGGGGGTAGTGATGGCTGTGATGGTGGTGGAAGTGGTGGCTATGATGATGGTGGTGACGGCTACGACTGTGGTGGTGACAGCGCCGATGGTGGTGGTGGCAGCAGTGATGGTGGGGGTGTGGCAGCGGGACCGTGACAGTGGTGGCGGCAGCGGTGGTGATGGTGGCGACGATAGTGGTGGGCCTGGTGGGCGTGGCGGTAGTGGAGGCGAGGGTGGTAGCGGTGACGGTGGTGATGGTGATGGTGATGGTGACAGCGACTGCGGCGAGGTGGTGGTGGCGGCGGTGGGGGTGGGGTTGGTGGCGGCGGTGGGGGTGGCAACGATGGTAGTGGTGATGACAACGGTGGTGGTGGCAGCGGTCGTGGTCATGGTCGTGGTCGTGGTCGTGGTCATGATCGTGATCGTGGTGGCGGTGGCAATGGTAATGGGGGTGGTGGTGGGAGAGGTAGTGGTAGGGTAGTTTCAAATATTATTTTTTTTAAAAGTATCTGTGAGAAATAATTTTTAAAAATACTTTTAAAAAATCACTTTAAACACACTCTTAGAGACTTATTTTTTCTATTAAATTTAAGATATTAATATTAGTCATTAGATTAACTTTAAAGTAAAATTTAAAACGATCTCAACCGCGAATAGTAAAAATCATTTTGTTTATCTTTTAATATTTGAAATGTAAGCTACTTTATTATATAGATAAAAAAAGAGAACGAAATGGGACAGGCAAAAAAAGGAGAGATTGGTATTCCACTGGTGACCCAATGGTTTGAGGCATATGAAGCCGGGTGACCTGATGAGGATGTAACTATGAGAGCGTTTAACTTATTGACGGGATGGTTAGTCAAGTTGTATTATTTTTTTCTTACTTAAGCAATGTAAATAGTTATACCAAATAATGATTAAACTCAAATGATTCAATTTTTATTTCATGTCTTTTCCATCCAAACTAGGTTTTTGGAGCCCCTGATATATGGTGACTATCTGTTCATAATGAAAGCTCTGGTGGGCAATGCACTTCCAACATTTACTGATGAACAAGAAACTTTAGTTCAAGGATCATATGATTTCATCGGTGTTAATTACTGTACTTCTAACTATGCACAAGGTCTTTCAATGTTAGGTCCAAATGATATTATTCAAAACCAAACTGATTTCCAATGCGTTAAACTCACGTGTAAGTTTTATTAGAAAAACCCTATTTTTCTGCAACTTAGCAACAATTTTTTTTCTTATTTGTGATAAAAATTCTTTTGGAACAAAAAATGTGTTGCTGACAAATTATAATTATCTGATCTCTCCTTATCTATCATGCTTGACCCAGCTACGAATAGCAAGGGGGAGCTCGTTTGGCCACTGGTAAGATAATTTATTTGCGAGTCACTTATAGTTGATTCATATGATTGATTCTCGACATTTATAGTTAATCAAAAAGTTGTGGTCTTGGTTAATTACAATCTAGGCACCAGGGAGCGATGCTATTTATGTTTATCCATGAGGGCTAAGGGATGCATTGATATATATAGGCAATACTTATGGCAATCCCAAAATCACCGTCACTGAGAATGGTTAGTTCTATACAGTTATAGCTAAGTTTTAAAACCTTGACTATTGTTAATTCTGTACTAAGACAATGAACTCATTTTCCCCAATAGGATACCCCGAGAAACGAGACGACACCATTCCAGTGAAGACTGCCATATAGGATGATGGCCGAATTCAACATATGATTGGTCATCTTTATGCAATTTCAGAAGCGATAAAGTAAGCAAAACTAATTATTTTTTATCCTTTATTCCTTACGATAATCAACTATATATGGTTGTCTTAATTGACTGTTACTATGTGTTTATTGGAATGCAGGGCAGGAACAGACATCAAAGGTTACCTCATGTGGGCTTTGATGGAT